CACCGTGGTCCTTGTTGTTTTAAATCTCTTGTTGCAGGGAAAAATGTTTCCTGAGGTAAGAAGATCATTCATGACCCCAGTTAGAAAATAGATCATCTCATCTATGCATGATCAGTGTTGAGAAGTATGTTGTGGTTTCAATACAGCTGTCTAGCATTCATCTTTGATAATGAAAGAAATACCAGGCCCATTAATCCATGGACAGATGTCTGCTAAGCTTGTTGTCAGGGCATCTGACAGCTGACCAAAGGCATAACTCTGTGTGTTGAGAGATGTTGGGTGCATGGGAGGTCTAGATAGCACTAGCTCAGAGTTTATGAGCATTTTGAGATTAGTCCATTAGAGGAGAGAAAGAGAGAAAGAGATTGAGGGAGAGAAAACAATATTATGAATACTTTGAACAATAAGTCCCAGAGTTTTTCCTAGGAATATGTCAAAGGTCAGCTTGCTAGTTCTAACTCATTTCTGTCAACCATTCTTTTTCTTTGCAGAGGGGTTAGAAAAAAAATGCCAGTAATTAAAAAAAAATATTTTATTGATTTTGTACAGAGAGGAAGGGAGAGAGATAGCGAGTTAGAAACATCAATGAGAGAGAGTCATTGATCAGCTACTTCTTGCACACCCCCTATTGGGGATGTGCCCGCAACCAAGGTACATGCCCTTGACCTGAATTGAACCCGGGACTCTTCAGTCCTCAAGCCAATGCTCTAACCACTGAGCCAAACCGGTTTCGGCAATAAATAAATAAATAAATAAATAAGCCAATAATTTTAAGTAGAAGCCTATGCTATCAGCAACTCCGAGAAACTAACAAATGGTTGGCATGTACAGGAACAGCCTTTGAAGGGGACTTTATGATTAAGAAGGAAATAAATCTCATCCCCCTCTTTGGTTTATGGAAACATATACAAGTCCTGAATTAGCGTAAGGTCTGCATATGTGTGTTTTCTCTTGTTTTTAATTAAACATACTGTACTGCTATTTAGTCACTAAAGTGAACTCAGTAAATTATCAAAGAGTCATATCTTGCTGCATCAATAGCTCAGCCCTCCGTTGAGATGTTAATGGCATTCAGTCAGGAATCTTGAAGCCAGAATGCCTTGAATGCCAAGTTAGATGGAATCTTGGTCTTGATATCATATTCCTTGTATCAAAGCTCATTTTCAGAACCAAACAGTGTCACTGGTTCAAATATAGGCTAGTGTCTTTGAGCAATGGCGGCAAAAAGGTGCTACAGGTTAGCATTGCATTACCCAACAAAATCAGTATTTATACCAATCTAATTTTGAGACCAATTTTACTTGATATGATTAAAGAATAATGAGTGAGCCATTAGAAAAGGTATACTGATTCCTAGCCATTCTGTCCAAGGGGATTTTTTCCAAGATAAGTATTGTCTATAAATTTTGAGCTCATACCTCATCATGACCTTATCAATACTTGTATTCTGAAGAAGAACAATGGTATTTCATGATTATCCGATGAACAACTCTGATATTACTAGCTTTCATTATCTATCTTTTCTTTAACAGTCCCATAAAGACACACACACACACACACACACACACACACACACACACACACGGGTCAGCAAAAGTAGGTTTACAATTATTTGAATGGAAAATAATACAATAATTAATTAAGAACTGTGTTTCACGTACTCAGCACTGTAAACCTACTTTTGCCCTCTCTCTCTCTCTCTCTGTGTGTGTATGTGTGTATGTATGAATGTGTGTATATGTATATGTATATATGTATGTATATATATATCACACACACAGTGACAAATGCAAGTGTTTGAATGTTTCAATGCCATCCTCTGTCCCTTGTGGAATGGAAACTAGCAGACTGCTGACACTTCCTTTGAAGGCTCTTCTGATTGCATTTGAGATGACTTCTTGAAGCAAGTGATTGAGAACATATGGTGAAACACCCTCAAACAGTCTGGTGTTGTAGACTAGGTGCTAAGTAGAGATCTCAAGAGTTGAGGGCCCAAGGCAGTATCTGAAGAGATCCAGGTACCTTTGCTGTTTCTTTGATGTCCCCTCAGTCATCCTGCCAAGCTATAACTGAGAAATGGGCCAGGTCTCTCATAGACTGTGTACCCATCATGGAAGCAACCTTTGCAAAACCTGGGGACTAAGAGTCCTGAGTGCTAACAAAAGAATAATCTAGAAATCCCTGGGGCCTGTGGAGACATAAAAGCTTTGGATAGCTTCTCAGTAGATCCCCACAGAAAGCTTCAGCCACCAACATGAGCCCAGTGAATGTGCCAAAAGCGATGGTGTTTCAATGACTAGCCTTGTATTCTAAAGGTTCTGCAAAATGTAGCTCTATGACCTAAGGCTCCATAAAACATTTTATTATTGAACCTTCCAAACTCACCAGAAGTACCCCCCAGGCTGTGAATGATGTGTAAATATGCAAGACATGGATAAAGGCAAGATGAGAGGGAGAGACGTCTTTCCCAGAGCTTGTGCTATAGGGTGGATAGATGGAGGGTTTTCTCGTCTATGTAAGTTTGGGAGTAATTAATGAGTAAGAAGATCTTGCTATAGTTTTACCTGCTGGGACCTAGAATTTTTTTTCTTACATTACCAAATTTTTCTTACATTATTGTCATCTTTTGGGGTGGCTTTACATGTATGTGTGTGCATGCAGGGGAGAAGGGTGTAAGCTGAACTACTCACTAGTTACCCTCTTCTGTCCATTTGAACTCAAAACTTGTGCATTTGCTAACCCCCAGGATGGTGTGGATGTTGCTCCCAACTGCTCTGTAGTTCCCATATTTCTCAATTTAATGTCTCTCTTCCATTAGCCATTCCGTAGCTATAAAAATGCCTAATGCCTGTGATGGCTTATGGCATAGAGATAATATTTTCCTTTTCTCCTCTCTCCTTTCCTTCCTCTACCATTTCCTCAGATTGCAACATTATTAGTGATACTCCTGTAATTTTTGTCTATTGGTTTTGAATTAATTGCATTTTCATGAGTTCTGAGGATTGGCTACAATGTTTCCTCACTCTTTTTCCAACCTTTTGTCAAATTGACTTGAAATCATGACATATTCACCGTATTTCAGTGTCCTGACTCAATAGTAAATGAAGGTTATACAATAATATGTACAGTACGATCCCACTTCTGCCTGCATATTATGCATGTATGCATGTGTGTGCTCACACACACACTTCTATGCATGTGGAGAAAAATACTCCACAGGAATATGTTTCCAAGTATAATAATATTTACCCTAAAAATGGGACTCCCAGTGATTGTCTCTTCTTTTTGTTCATTTGTATTCTCTATTTTCCCACAATATGCATCTGTTGCTTGCGATATTAAAAATTACTTTAGAAAGCCATTCTCGGGTGAAGGTGGGCAAAGGGTGGAAAATGGGGACATCTGTAACAGGTCAGTAATAAAAATAAAGTTAAAAATAAAAAGATGCCGAAACCGGAAAAAAAGAAAGAAAGAAAGAAAGCCATTCTCAAGCTTTGTGTGTAACATCAGTGTAAGACCTGACACCCACCCACTGGTGTTGTTAATGGTAATTTATTTAAATGGCTTATTTGAAATGGCACTTATTTTTGGAAAATGTTGAGACAACTGAGTCACCTATCATATTTTAGGAAAAAAGATGAACAAGAAACCCCAAAGGAACAGGTGAAGATCTGCTAGGCAGAGGTCTGGCTCATACCAAAAGGTTTTTGGGTCAAGATATATGTATGTGCATGAGCTCAGCTGGAACTCTCTTGACCTGCGGAGGGGCTGAATTTAGCAGTGAGCTAAGGTTCCTGGTCACTCAGTGAGTCACCCAGCAGAGAATGGCTGGGGTACATACCCTAGGGCTTTGTGGACTGAGGAGTCCTGGGAGCACACGGTGTTCCTAGAACACGCTGGGCTTGCCTGTCTCCAAGTGACACCGTTACCAAGCGCTTCCCAAAGCCACCACCAGCTGCTGTGTGGGCTCACAGCCATAATGATCACAGCTCATGGGCAAACTCAAGCTCGGTTAACAGAGGTCGATCGTCCGGCTAGTGTTGCTCAGTGGTTAAGCGTCCACCTATGAACCAGGAGGTTGTGACTGGATTCCCAGTTAGGGCATATGCCCGGGTTGTAGGCTCGATCCCCAGTGGAGGGTGTGCAGGAGGCAGTTGATTAATGATTCTCTCTCATCATTGATGTTTCTCTCTCCTTTTCCCTTTCTCTCTGAAGTAAATAGAAGTATATTAAAAAAACAACATGTCAGTAACCAAAATTGTATCCTCATGGATCACTGTATGCTTTTAAAGACCAAAGTGAACTTTCCTTGGGGAAAGACTGTTTTACTGGATGGAACACATAGATTTCTTGTCATCCTGGGCACAGCCGGGTGCTGTGGGGAGTGGTGGCTGTTGGAGATGGCAGAGTATGGGGATGGTGGAGTGGGAGGAGGGAGAAGACGTAGTTGTTGAGCTAGGGACACAGTGTGATCTTCAATGTGTTTAACACTGAGGTTTGGGAGAATTTTAAGACAGTTGAATTGGGAAAGTGCTTACACCTTTTTGTAATTAACTTCTCCTTGGGAAAAAAATAGCTGATGATCAGGCAAAAACATCTTAATGTGTTGTTTTAGCTGAAGAGCAATTTTTAACCAAAGTGTAATTAAGCAAGCAAGCTTCAGTGGTGGGTTTAAAATGGTTTTCTCTCACCCAGGTTGGTGTAGCTCAGTGGTTATATTGTTAATCTGTAGACTGAAGAATCTTGGGTTTGATATCTCTCTCTCTCTCTCTCTCTCTCTTCCCTCCATCCCTCCCTTACAGACTCTAAAACTCAATGGAAAAATGTTATCAGGGGAGGATTAAAGAAACATTTCTTCTCTGAGCTGAGCAGGATGCATTTTCCCTTCCATTGGTATGTCTAGAGAACACAGACCAAATGCATTTCCTCCAAGCTTATCTAACATATTGGATAAAATACACAGTTCCCTTAAGGATAAATGTCAAGAAGAAAGACTGAAGTATACTTCCAAGCAAATTTATTAGACGTCTATTCAAGAAAAACACAATGACTTTTGCTTGTAAGAATTCAAAGTCAATGACCTGAAAGCCAAGTAGGAATTTTTTTTCCTTTCAAAATCAGGTACAGAGAGTAGAAACAGTAATTTTTCTTAAATATGACAGGCAACAGACATTGAAGTCTTTTCTCATAAATGGCATGGAAGATAATTATTCATTTATCAGCAAAGCTGCATGCAGTTGACCTAATTTCAAACCCAAGGCCTTTAAAAATATAAAGCTGGTTGTGAACTTGACAGTAATCAAGGTTGGCTACTCAAAGGTGTTTCTTTACCTTTTTCCTATTGAAACCCTTCTGTATTGGATACTTATATACATTTCAGTCTGGCTACTGAGCTCTTGTAAACTCATATACTTTTGCATAAATGCTATCTTATAGAATCACACTATCGAGGCGTGCTTATGATCTGTGGGATATACAAAGGATCATCTTTAGTTTTAGTGAAGGATAAAGAGCAAGTTAAGAAATTCCCTTGTTTTCTCAACAACTAAATAGTCTATACAAAAAAAAAAAAAAAAGAGCAACCATATGTACAAAATTCTAGAGTCTACTTACATTGTGAAAAGATCAGTCACTGTCCACAGAAGAAATGCCATAAAAAGTTTTCTCTATAAGGTGCTCAAGATCCAAATATGAATAGTTCTTATGCAAAGTCATAAGAAATACAAAGCTAGTTCTCAGAAGGTGTGTGATTCAGGCACTGTTCGCCACATTAAATCTCCCAGGTCCCAATATCCTTTTGTAAATTTCTACCTCAGGGCAGAAAATAGAACCTGGATGAGTTAACATTGCCTCTAAAAAGTGCCTAATGTATTTTGAGGAAGTATTTTATACACACCGGAAAATCAGGCTCAACATATTCCTGTCCTCAAATGTAGCCAGGATTCTGAGTTCCATAGAAAAAAAAATTATCATAGTAAAAATAATTGTATTGATCATAATCCTTGCTAAAACCAGCCTTAATACCTGTGATACTTCTAAAGTCTTCTATTTCTAAAAATAATGCGTGGGATTTTTTTACATTCCATAAAATGTATGTATGACATGTCATATGGATTGCCTGTTCTCATACAATCGCAAATGGCTATGTTCACACAGTGAAATCCTACCTAGGAATATTGCTTACAGATACTTTCAAGTGTCTATGTTAGAATAACTCTTTGCACCTCTCACTAACACTGCTTTTATTTAAATTTTGTCAGATAAATAAGCACTAAGGGCTCATTGTTTATGATGCTGATCATTACATTTTAATATAAAATAGCAACGCAACTTTACAACACAATATTTTTTTTTTGTAGTCTAGCTAAATCTCTTATATTCTCATGATTATTACCCAAAGCTCTTACTCACTTACTGTTTGCACTTCTAAAAAGTACAAAAGAATCGCAGGGAAAGACTGCTATTCGAAACCCACATTCAGTCAACAAAAATCACACTCATCTGAATGAACGCTCCTACTCTTGCTTTAGCTTGTGTAATCACTGTGCATATTACAACATACGTATAAGTGCAGGAAAATAATAGCTGAAGTACAGTTGTCATGTCGTGTAAACGAGGACTCTAGGCAAACTCGTGAAAAGAAAACAGACTGCCAAGCTAAGAGTGTGGACACGCACACCACGTATTTAGTAATAAACCATCTTCTGGTGCCTGAGGAGGGGGGTGGGAAAACATCCTCAAAGTGGACCAGGGAGCCTCCTCGAGACACTTTTCAGTTTATTTCCCGCTTTGTAAGTATGATGACTCTCTTTCTGATCCTATTATACAGACTTTCAGTTTAGAGCAGAAAGCAGGGATATGCACTTTCACACGGAACAGGCCTGCCAGCCTCCCCGAGGCTCCGGCGGTTACTCTGCTGGTGGTTGGGCGGCAGGTGGAGATGAGGACGGTGGTGACTTCTACAGGAAACATAAGGCATGAGAGCGGGAGGCCTGCGGGGTCTTTTCGGGCCAGGTTCTGAGACGCAGTGTACACAGCAGGGAGGGTGCTTCACAGCCTCTTGACGTAGTTTCCGGGGAAAGTACCAAAGAATTTGGTTCTTCTTGAGGTTCCTGCAACACATGAAAGGGGAGGGAGTGATAGAACATGAAATAATTCATACGCCTGGGCCTGGAACTCGGCGTTCCAAGCCTTTCCTACCTGAGCAAGGCCTGCAGGGTTTGCAGAAGCAGGAAGCTTGCTTGGGGACATGAGGAAGGTAGTCAGGTGAAAAAGAAACAAATACTGGGAGGATGGTGTCTGATACTCTTGTCCACAAACATCTCCTAGAAGACATCTAGTCTCCTCTCAAGATGTAAGAATGAGCTGAAACCCATTTGGCTCAGTGGATAGAGAGTCAGCCTGCGAACTGACGGGTCCAGGGTTCGATTCTGGTAAAGGGCATGTACCTTGGTTGCGGGCACATCCCCAGTAGGGGGTGTGCAAGAGGCAGCTGATTGATGACTCTCTCTCATCAATGTTTCTAACTCTCTATCCCTCTCTCTTCCTCTCTATAAAAAATCAATAAAATATATTTAAAAAAAGATGTAAGAATGAGACTGTCTTTTCAAAGTCAGAATGGAATGTCTGTCTCCCTCCTTCCTCCGCAAATGAAGGCTAAGAAAGCCCTGGCCTCTTAGGGCAATGACAGCAGCCCTAGATGGGGGTGAGTGACCTTGTTCTCTCAAACTGACCCTCACTGCTGACAACTAGCACTCCCCACGGAATAGAGTATTGATACTCCTCCTCTAGGGAACATTTTTGTTTTTCTTCTTACATCTCAGTCTTTCCTGGTTGGTGCTCTTTAAGGAAATTCCCTTCTCCCAGTGGAACCAGAAATAAAGCTAGCAGAAAACCACATCTACCTGGAGCAGTCAGTGCTCACCCCTGTTAAAAATGCAGTTGCCGCCGAGGCCGGTTTGGCTCAATGGATAGAGCGTCGGCTTGGGGACTGAGGGGTCCCGGGTTCGATTCCGGTCAGGGGCATGTACCTTGGTTGCGGGCGTGTCCCCAGTGGGGGGTGTGCAAGAGGCGGCTGATAGATGGCTCTCTCTCATCGATGTTTCTAGCTATCTCTCTCCCTTCCTATCTGTACAAAATCAATAAAATATATTTTAAAAAAAATGCAGTTGCCTTGGGATGACAGATGAATGTATGGAAGATCCAAGGCATTGTGAACTCAAAGAAAGCCTGACTGCTGTATCCATCCATGCAGGGAGCAAACACAAGCACGTTAACCATGGGCAAATGTGTGTGAAAGGCACTGTACACGTACCCACAAACCATCCATCGTCACATTTTTCCATCACGTCGATGACGTCGCTTTCTCTGAGCTCCAGCTCATCTTCATTCCTAGGAGTATAGTTATACAGAGCCTGAAACCTTAAACAGGACAGATGCAAGTGTTTAACACAAAAGTCACACCTTGGTGAAACTACAGAAGATATACAGCATTCACTTTTCTCTTAGCATTTCTATTATGATTATGATATTGCTATTAACCTAAGTCTTTGGTAAGCTTGTAAACAGAACTATTTAGACTCTCCTGGAAATCAAATCACTCTAGTATTTCAAAACTCGTAATGAGGAATATTCATGGGAGATGACAACATCCACAAGTAGGATTCAAACATTTTAACATTTATAAGCCAGAGTCACATTTCAATTGGCCAGTCATATCGATAGATATCTAGCATTCAGATGTTAAACAATAGGACAGAAAATATATATATATATATATATATATATATATATATATATATATATATATATATATATATAGTGCCATGTGTGTTATTCAGCTTTATAAAAACAAGGAATTACAGTTTTAGCTATCTAGAAGCAAGAATAATTAATTGCAGTTTGCAAGTTGAATTTTCAAAGGATTCTAAGTTGAGATGTGCAAAATGTCTGTGACATATATCTTCTAAATCACTGAGTGGGGATTACTAGAAAAGAGTTTTGTTTTTTTTTCACCAAAAGAATTTTTTTAAATGGGTTGATTTCATAGTTTTCTCGGATTTAGAATATGAAAATCTGATCTTGTCCACCTATGAAATGAAATGGATGTATTCTATGCTCAGTTATCGCTTGAGCTAATATCAAAGAGTAGGGGTATTATAGGCATAAATTAATTTTAAAAGGTTCTGTAGAAATAGTGTTGATGTAAGTATTCTCTTGAAACAGTTTTACATAAGAAATGTCTTATCAGTAATGCTACTCACTTTTCTTTCTCTGTCTGAATTCTTTGAGAGCATATATTTTGGTGATATTGATCAGCAACAAATTCAGCCGTTGAATTTTTGGTAATAAAATTGCTTGTATTTTAACATGAACTGGCATTTTGAAAAGCAAAGACACAAATTCTAGCGGCTGAGGCCAGGCAGCGTTGGATGTGCAGCTAAGACAAAGATGTCCCAGTGCTTCTAAAACGTTATTAGTATTGGGAGGGGGATTTCAAAAAATATCAGTGAACTTGTTTCTGCTGGTTTCACAACAGTTGTGTAATTCTGCCAATGTAAGAATGGAAGAACCACATTTCAGGGCATTTTGTTGTTGTTGTTTTTTTTTTAAAGCCAACGTTGAAAAGCTGATTAATATTGAACACTTCTCAGGAATAAAGATGGTGTATTTCTCGTGTCTTCATTCCATCGGAAAAATCACGTTTTGGTGGAACAAAATTATTCTGTCACGTGGACTCAAACATCAGGTCATAAACCAGGGACGGGGCTCCCCTGGCTTCCTCTCAGTCTGTGCACTTGTTTGGGGCGGGGGACCTGATAAAGTGGGCTTTGGTGGGGGGTGTCTGAGAAAGGGTGGGTGAGATGTGGTGCCTAACACCTTCTCCTAGGAAACCTCCTCTTCCCTGGCCTGGCCTGGCCCGAAGCCTGAGCTGCTGACACTGGAGATGTCTTCCCCTGTCAGTACCTGCTCCTCCGAGGACACCTGGTCAGCAGCTTGTGCTTGTGGGGATTGGATTTTGGAGAAGGGTCAGGAAAAGCAGCCAGAGTCTGAGAACAGTGGCAACAAGGCAGGGTGGTGTCAAATACCGACATTTCTTCATTTGGAGGCTCGCTTGGGTCATCCCTGATTTTGCTGTTTGCTTCAAGGATTTAACTTTGAGGCCCTTCAGATGAATGGATGATATGTTTTGTGTACCCAGGGGGCAAGGTGCTGGCAATATACTCCCTTCTCCAAGTTCACAGGAGTGAGATAGTCACTCATTGCCCTGCTGCTAAATCAACGGATGTGCACCGTGTCTCTCCCTTCGGGAAATTGATTTTCTGATTGAGTTTTTCAGGCTCAGCCCTCACCCAGGCACATCTCCAACCACATAGGGAGACAGGCCTATTTAAGGCCACAGAGCCCAGCTGCTTGAAAAATCTCAAGGTCCCAAGAGCTAAAATAAAATTGGCATCCACTCCGACTTCACTTGGGTGTGACGAAAGCCAGCGTGCATGTCAAAGTGTACTTACCACTCTGGTTTAGTTAGACCACAAAAAGGCAGGAAGGGGTGAGGGGGGTTGAAGGGAAACATAAACAAATGTTTCAGAAGCCCTCCTGCCTCATTGGCTTTCAAAATCAGTGCTGCACAACCGGAAATGCAGTTGAATTACAATGGGAAATGCTGTTTGGAAAGATGTGTTGGTGAGATGAATGATGGTGGTGGTTAGGATGCCTCAGAGACCTCTGTCTTTTGAATAGGAAATCCTCAGCCAAACTTAAGTTCTCTAACTTGCAACTTTTTCTATCATGTATTTCACCATAATTCTGAATTTAGAGACATAAAGCATTGTGTCACTATTTTTTTTTTTTTTAAATGAAAGAGATTAAGCGACACCCTATTAGGGTTGTAGTCAAATAGAAGTTTCATAAAGCACATTTTATAATGTCCAAGGCAGGACTTCGAAAACGTGCCATCTTCCACCTGTGAGCGCAGTAGTTTCATACACAGTCAAACACTGGGAGTTTTAACTCCATGCTACGTAAGCCAGTGCATTGTAACGTATCTATTACTTCATAAAGTCCTTAAAAGCTGCTGCTATAATCTATTAGGAATGCAATCAACCTAAACAGCCCTGACATTTATTCTTGTGTGATGCGATCCTATCGTTGTTTGAGAAAAAAGAAACCCACAACCCAAAAGACAAACTGAAACTTTAGAATTAAAGGCCATATTTAAACTATTCTCAGTTAATGAATTTTTGAGTGATTCTTATTTCCAACCTGTTCTTTTCATGGTCTTTTTCTTAGCAAGACCTTCTGGTTGTACTCGGGGACGGCCGCTTTAAGGGAGAGATGATTCTGAAGCGCATGCTTTTAGCTGAGTGTCAGGTCTGCGAGGAGTGAGGGGGGGTGCGTGACCCTGAAGGACTCGCTCTGTCCCAGTGAGCAGAGCCTGGGCAGTGGGCTGGAGGCTCACCGGTACTCAGACAGGCCTGACAAGCCTCCTTCCAGGGTCAGCTCCTGACTCACAGAACAGGTGGGAGCCAGGAGGAGGTAGGTCACCTCTGAGTATCTCTCACGGGCAAAAATGGAGCAGGAAAGACACACAACATATGGGTCTTAAAGACATACAACATATGGGTCTGACACCTTCAGGTTGCTCTGGCTACGTATCAGCAGGGAGAGGGAACTGGAGAGTGTTAAAAGGCATGTGATTGAATGACAGTGCCTTTTAAATCCTGCCATTTCCAAAAACCCTTCTCAGACCCTAACTTTGGAATGATGTCCCAGATGTATCACCTTAAGTCTCCTGTTACATTTTCCTTCTCCCTAAATATGTGCAAAGACATTTTCTGTGCCTTCAAAGCCGTAGTTACTAGGATCTACGGGGCTAGTGAACAGAGGAGACAGATTCATAATCTTAGGAATCGCTGCAGCTTTGGGAGGCCTTGCTAGTGCATGAATCAGTCTTCTCTGCAGATCACGGGTTTCTTTTTTAAAGTAGCTCTTTCTGTTATGAAGATGGAGACTATGGCAACCCCTCTTCCTCTAGTGGTGCCTTTCTCTATTTGGGTACATCAATCGTCCATGTTGTGGGTCAAGGTTAGTCTTGAATTTAGAAGAGAAGAAGAATACTTACGGTTCCCCCCCACCTTGAATGTTTTCATGAGTATACACAGGACGCTGTGGCTGAAATGAAATGATTTGCAATGTAATCAATGTTTACACTGGTACTAGGTAAGAGATAATTTGGATAATGGCATGGTACTTTTCTTAGCATTTAATATATCCTGCTGTAAAAAACCAAGAGGAAGAAAAACAAATACAACCAAGTAAAGGGTTTCTGCAGGATTCATCATCAAAATATTTTGGAGGGTGCTTTCAATGACTTCAAAAGAACCAAGGTTCGAATGCTTTGAACATATCTACAATCCAGTCTGCTCAAGTTTTAAGGGAAAGTCAGGGCTCCGTCCCATGGATTTTTTCAAAAGCCAGGAACATGGCAAGAACATAGACACCAAATCACTGAATGGGAAGCGTGGACACCCCCATACAGCCTTGCTCCTCAGCGTTTTCTCAAGCAAGCAGAAAAAAACCCACATTGAGTCCGACAGCAAAGTATCCACACTCATTCTAATATGCTTTTCCCCCACAGACAACATTTCCACATACGGTACGGATGAACATATCGATAGGCGGACATCCCATGCTACATTTGAATTAACATTCTCTGTTCTCACACATGCATTTTAAAAAAGAGAAAACAGAAAACTTTAAATAGAATGCAACAAACAATATCCAGGTAACACATAGCATTTTACCGTAGAAGAGAAATATTCAAAGTGTGTGTACACATTTTTGGGGGATACTATATATAGCGCCATATTTCTAGTGTACAACAAGTTATAAACAATAAATATTATCTGTTCTTACCTGAAGAGAACATGTTTTGCAAAATATATTTCACTGTGCTCTAAAAATGGTCTGCCTATTTATAACTTTTAAATCATCCTGATACTTTTAAGTTGAGTAAAAACTTGACTTTTGCTTGTGGCATCTGGTGCTTGGTAAATGCAAATGTAACTACAACTAATGTAATACTTTGAAAATCAGTATTGTAATTTGTTATTGTTATTACAGTTTTACTGGTTTAATTCAATTCAGCTTACCTCATACATCATTGAACTGAATCATCCCTTTAGCAATGATAAAAAATGGGCTATTATCAGATATGGTGGCTCCCTGATTCCACAGGCCCCTGAGTCTCAAGAACTATGTTCCTGGATTGCTGGCCAGGAGTGTCTTTGCTTTCACCCATCTTCCCCACTGTGTCTATTCCTTCACTTACTTTCAAAGGATCCTCCATCACTTTTTTTTTCTCCTGAATCACCAGTTTTCTATATGCTCAGGCCAGGATTTAGCACAGCTTTTATTAGCATTGATGTCATGTACCCACTGTAATGGCGTGTTTTAGAACTTTGCTAAGGTTACCTTTGAGAGGAATTATTTCTACGCGAATGTGCATGACTGTGAACCAGTGTTGAGGAAAGATGACCATTACAGTATTTGGATTCATTTATTTTCTAGTAAAAGTATTTGTTACTAGAGGAATACATTTACTAGATACATTTATGCCTTTCTGGTGTTGGCATTAACTATGCAGCCTTGGATATGCACCTTAGGTTCCTGATCTCTAAAATCAAGAAGTTGGATAAGATGAGGATTGCTTGTCCCCCTCAGGGAACCCATAATGGAATCCACATTTCACAGACATATTTTCTGTGTAATGTATAGGTGCCATCATCGACTTTACTCATTCAATTGTGAGAGAGCTGGGACAGGGGACATTCATTTACAAGTGTCTCAGTCATGTAAAAACAGTAATAGTAATAATTCAATTTCATTTTTGAAGATCAGTGAGCCAAAACCAAAGATGATTTTTTAAAATCACAAATAAGTAAAAAGCAATGACAGAATTATAATTTTGGCTTTCACTCTTTATAGCATAAAATATTTCTATGAGGGAATAGATGGCCTAAGTTGGTTAAAATCAACCCTAACCCTAACCCTAACCCTAACCCTAACCCTAACCCTAACCCTATTTATTTTTTGCCTTTAGGCAGCTGTTTATGCTCTGTGTGGCTACTCAAGCAAATTACTTTAGGGGACTATCTTTTGGGGTTCCTCCTCCTGGTGTTATAACCATGGGCACAAACCTAGAGGAAGAGCTCTGTACTGTATCTGCACTTCATTGCCACCTAACGGTGAGTAGTGGCAGCAACATTTAAGAGTCCATGCCTTTCCTCAGCTCTCACCAAGTTCCTTTAACCTGGACTCATTTTGGAAGAATATTTTAAAGGACACAGAGCAATGTGGAATCGATATCCATCTGTTTTTCCCTCCCCGCATTTTAAATTCTTGAGAAAGGATCGCGCTGGCCACCAGAATTTTTGGTCTATGATAATTTTTAGTTTAACTATCTACCCAGGCATTTATTTCTATTATTCACGACTTCTTAGCCATTTTGCAACAAATACAGAACAGTATACATTTGTACCTCCCAGAAGGGCTCACGTGAACCGTGAATGCATGAATGTGGTTTTCAGGCCAACAGATTACAGACACTATGCTGGGAATGTTGGGTGGGAATTACGTACATCACGTCTGCGTGATCTTGATGAGTCTCAGGGGGACGATACAAATGAGAGAGCCCAACGGAGCATCATGCTGTTTTCACGGGAGCCTAAATACTTAACATTTTCTTTGGCAACGCAACAATTATTTTTTATCTTTGAGTATAGATATTTTTAATGTCAAATGTCAAATATGGGTACAATTGAGACAGGTTTTAAGCACATGCTAATTTTCAAAGCCAGAACCAAGTCACAAACCACCCATTGTATAGGAAGCTGCTTTGAAATATCCTACAACCTCTGGTATCAGTAAAACTTACACTCCCCTAGCTCAGTCTGTCTGACACCCACCTATTTATCTGTGCTGCTACAGAGGCGTCTCTGGAGGATCACCTAGACCTCGTTGTAGGAAATTCTTAAATAAGGAGTTATTGCTACTTTAAATATTAAAGTGTGGGGAAATATTGGAGTTAGCAGCAGTTCTAGAGTTCTTACGTCAATTTCCCCCTCCGAAAAATGTAACTTGTAGTACCTGTAACCGGAATTGGATGCACATCTCCTTTCAATAGCCCTATGTTTCTGCTTCTCAGCTTATTTTTCCTTCTTAAATTATGAAGTTAAATCAAACTTTTGCATAAATCTGAAGAATATAGACTATCATGTTCCACAACAGCACATATAACATCCCTAATGTAAAAACCTGGCAAAGAGAAAAACCTTAAGGTGACCCAGAGCGTACCATGTCCCTGGCCCGCGGGAAATTTGTGGTTGGCCATGTCAATTATGGAAAGAGGTTTTGTTTTGTTTTGGAGAAGGCCCTTCTGTGGACTCTACGAATCTCTTCAAATCAACATCCCTCCTTCTCTATGGCAACACAGAACTCTACCCCAGAAACAAAAGGAATCTTATTCAAAGAAGCGAAAAGCACAATGATGGGATCAAGGCAGAGAAGTCTCCACATTTTTAAAGCACCGAAAAGGCAGTTTTCTTTACAAGGAAGCCCTTCACCACTTGTGGATCTACAGGCATGTAGCAGACCTCGTAGGGTTAAACCAGGATCATCAAGACAGAGATGTGAAAGGACTGGCTCATTCGCAGAGGGACATCCCCAGCGGTGTCCCCCCCCCCGCCCCCCCCTTCCTCGGGATCCACAGTACCGGTTAGCTTCCCTCATTGTAGAGTTTGACCTTTAAGTTTCCAGTCAATGCCTTCAGGAGACTGGGAGAATGTAGAGTCCAGAGAGGCGCAGGTTTCCAAAGGGTCATGGGGCGGGTGAAACACTCATCACCAGAGCAACGCGATGTTTTGCAACAAGATCATTGAAACATCCACATACACTGGACGACAAAGAAGCAAACATTAACCGAAGCGTGTGAGTTCAGCACAAGTGCATTTTCAGCTGTGCGCACGCGAGGCACAGAGTTTATGCTTGTGTTGTTATTTCTTGATTCTTGTGTTATTTGCCATACGAACAGCTGTTGCCCTACTTTTGCCCCAGCCTGTGTTTTATTGGCCATAGCTTTATCCTTCACCCTGAGGACAGTGACCGCACAGCAGAGACTTACAGAGGACACTTGCACAGAAGCACGAGACGAGGTGGAAGACAGGTGCCCCCTGAGTTGCCTTGTGGAGAGTCTGGCCGTGTCTGCCTGCGTTTGGGGAACTCACACAAGCACATTCCGCAGACAGTTAGGATAGGATTTTCGTGTGGATCTGAGGTTGTAGCTCATCATGAGTTGGTCACTTCATCTCAAGGTTACCTCCACCCTACCTGACCGGCCAAGGACAGCAAGGACAAGCGAGGAAGAGCCAGCCCACTGAGGGTGTGTGTGTGCGTGGCCAGGGTGCCTGGCCCAAGGCAGGCGATCCGTCCCTACCCTGTGGGAGCCGCTGAGCCCTCTGACAGGCGAGCTGCAGGACCTCCTAGTCATCACTGGGCTACGGGGAGGCTTCCCCAAGACAAACATCTCGCCTCTTACATCAGCCTGGAAAAGCCACAGACGTGAGTTAGTTCTCATCTCCTTCTCCAGAGCCAGGAGGAGCTGCTGCTTGCTTTTCGTGCACACACAGCATGCCGGACCCCTGCCCAAGGGAAGGGTCTCACCCTGCATCCAGCTCCTCCGGTTGCCCTGCCTTCCACACCACAGGCATCCATTGTGCTTCAATCTGAACGCGCAGGCAGAGCAGAGCAGAACAGAGCAGAGATGCTTGAATGCAGCGGACATGGCTAAGAGCACATACCAGAAACCGTACGCCTTTAACAGAATGTTTAACGGCTGGGTTCAAGACACACTCAGATCTGGCCTGTTTGCTTTGTGTTTATTTGAATAGCTACAAAGTAAGAGAGAGGGCAATTTTACTTACTATCCGTCAAATTGCATAGGAAGTGCCAGTCATTCTGCCAGTGCCAGAGACCTAAAGCCCTCTCTCTTAAATGACAGAACACTGATTCTAAGCTATCAATACATTCCCCTTACTGACTAAGCTTAATGGCTGAAGAACCAGGAGAAAGGCAAGAAATAAATACTTTGTCCTTAAAAAGAAAACCACAGAGGG